ATAAATATATAAATAAATTTTTGTAATAAATAAATTTGATAATATACATATTTTTTAAAAATGAATTTATGTTTTGGATTGCAAATTATTTATGAAGAATTAAATGTATGGGTTTTGTTCGTCGTTTGCATTGTCAATGAAATTGAATTACCCAATACACTGGGAATGGTAGCTAGCCAATCGCTTATCGTATCTATCGCTTGGATAAGAACGGTCAAATGACAAGATACCGTATAGGAAGGATTTTAAAATATCAGGACTGTTTAAAAAAGTTGTTATAGCGATAACAAAATAAACCTCCCGATGGCTCAATTCAAAACACAAAACAATTTCAGAAAATTTAAAATTTTTCAATTTGTTATATTAATTATATCTTATTAAGAAATTTTAAATAAAAAATAATCAGAATTTTACAAAAACATGTTAAGTTGTTATCTATATAATTATAAAATTATAATTCATAATTGGACTTGTTTAATAACAAATACTTTAAGATTTAAAATTGGAAGATTTCAAGAGAATTGTTGCCTTTTTAAAGATTCATCTATAATGAATTTATTTATATTTATTCACGCAAATACAACATATATTGGATACAAATATCCAGTTGTACATATTTGAGATGCGTTAATGATCATAAAAAAATTAATTAATTATAATATCACGCTTGTGATAAATAAATCTTATCAAAAATTATACCGAGCAATGATCGCCGAGTATGAAAGGCAAAAGCTTACAGTAACTAAAGATCATAAACGTACACCCGCACGTGAAATTCTTAATGTTCATTTTTTTCGCTTTAGCAAATCAGTTATATCACAGTACTCTGTGATAACAATGTTCCGGAAAGAGAACATGGCTGTGTGCATGCAGCAGAAAAAGGAAGCTAATCGTGCGCAGACGATGTCAACAAGGCTAACTCATTGTGCTCCACGCGATAAGAGAATTTTTTTCAAATCATTTAACCATTTTGTAATTTATCCATTCTCAATCTATGATTTCTATTCGCGTGACAAACGCGATTTGCGATAGACTTGATATATTTTAAAATAGGATATATATAAATAAAAGAGAATCTATTTTTTCGATGCTAAAACTTAGATTTCTAATCATTTCTTTTGCAATACATACACAATCGAACTTTTAATTTACACGTAAGACATAATATATCCAATTATAAAAACGTCTTATGTAAAATAAGATGTATGATTGATAATATAAAAATGTATGTATATGATCTTGTAATAGAGACTTATAGAGAAGAATTCGCCGATAATGCTGATCACGAATGCGTTCTCCATAGCTTCACATTTATCTGGCAGTGATTATGATATATTCTGTTCGAGTCTTTTATTTGATTAATCGATACGAGAGCAGATAAGGGCGAGTTATCGGCTACTACTTACTTGTGCGGCGATCACAATGGTCAGCCGATATAATCCACGCGTGGTCGGAGACACACGTTAGTTTGCCTGCCATATGCGCGCATCTCGCGACCTGACCGGTTCATTCTAGAAATTCGCGGCTCGATCGTTCGTAAAAAGTGACACGAAACATCAAATATAGCGTGTTAATTACATTTTTGTTGCCGAGAGAGAGTGCCGATATGTTCACATATAGATGTCTTTAACAATTTATCGAAGTTCAGAGTTTAGAGGTCAGTACAGTTTTTAACATCACTGTAATGATAAGGCGTTTTGAGAGAGAATTGGAAGCACGCGTGCACACATACACAAAAACACATTATTCATAATTCTTCTTAGAGCGTAGATAGCAAATTAAATTCGTAAAAAATCGCGTAAAATAATTTAATATAGTACTTACTTTCCAAAGAGACGCCTTTCACATCATATAATTTGAAACGATAAACTCGCGAGTTCGACGGCAATACATTAAAAGGGATGCCCTCATCACTTTTTCCATATTTTATATCGTTATTTTTATTATCGTTATCATAGATTATACGCGTGAGTCTTTTGATAAGATAACAATTATCATGGCACAATGTTTTTCAGAAGCTCTCAATCTGTTTGAGGGAAAAATCGAAGTTCGCGCTCGGAATCGATAGATCGCTCTATCAATGATTTTGTTGCATTTTAACGTTCCAGTGCAATCATCTCGCGTTGATTCTCGCGTCATTCAAGATGAAGCCGACGGTAATGATTGGAGGAGCGGGTATTTCGTTGTTCAAAGCCTATTACCGCGCCCGGATGTTCGCAACTAACGCTTTGATAACCCCCTCCCAGAATTAACACAGAGATGTCGGATCTGTGCGTGTGACACGCTATATGAATTGTGCTGCTTGTGTCGATGTATGTCATTGTAATGTGTGTATATCGCGAAGCTTGTACTCTCAATTTAGATCGACGGTGAACGAGCCATCGGTGAAAAGTATGTTCTCGGTCGTGCATTTTTGCAATCAAATTCGAATTTTCTGATTGGATGCTATAAATCAGAAACGGCTCACAAATTTGGAAAATGCAGACTAAAATAGTTTTATACTTAATGCATTAGCGAAATCAAAACATTATATCTTATCCGAGTAAAATATTCTATCAAAGAAGAATGTAATTCCTTTGAAGTGCTTTGGGATTAGAACATTTTAAATTGTATTGCTTTCATTTTTGGTATTATTTTGATTTATGACAATCAATCGTATTTACAGTTGCATTAAAATGACGATGTAAAATGAAATAATGATCGATTAAATCAAATTCTTGACGGTGCGGCTCATAATGTACTAAGTAACGGTCCACACGTCTTTTCCGTCACAAATTTTTCAATCCATCAAAATTATAGCACACATATCACGGTGTACAGTGTAGACAGCAACGATTAAACGGATCCATGCACGGTTAGCTAAATTATCTTGTCGAAGGTTAGCGCCGCGTAGAGAGACGATCTTGCGTCGTCTATCACATTAACGTCTTGTGTAGGCGAGAATTCTGTTTCGTTCTTGGACGAGATAGAAACTCATAAAGTAAACGTTAGAGACGATCATAAATTATTCATTTATCAATTCAACGAGCGTTCGCCGCGATAAATTCTGTCCGTGCAATGGAACAAAAATTGTGTTCTCGAGCAGGTATACGGATTAGGACTTAGAGGTCTGAGACGGCAAATACGACCGTGGCTATGAAATGCAGATTATCTGGCGAATTGACAGTGACTAATAGTCGTGTACAGCTATGGAGATTAATTTCGTGGAAGTTTTATCGGTGCAGACACAAATACCGCGTTCTTATGTGAGGCCATCTAACAACCGATGAAAAACTTGTAACGGTCGGATGCATTCTGAGCATTGGAGTCATCGAGTTCAACGGTTAAACAAGCACGGAGACACCTAAGCGTTTCATGTTCCGATATCATTTTGTCCGTTCGCCGACCACCGTTCAGTCGGGTGTCTGCTCCTTCGACGGTCTATCCGCGGCGAGCCACATTGTCGTGAATCTTGTCCAGTTTAAACAATATTAAGATAATTCGCTGTGCCTTTATTCATAAAGATTGCAAAGATTACGTTTAATTAATCTTTCACTATATATATATA